CGCAGATCGACGCTGTCCGCATGGCTCATATGGACTCTCCCGCTGCGCGGTCTTTCACCGACTCGGACAGGAGCCCTGTTACCCCTCCCGCCCCCTTCTACAACGTACGCCCCTCGCCGTCTGGCATGACCCTTTGCTGATGACTTGCCAGCACCGCCTTGCTTCAACTTCATCAGTCAACACTACATCTTCTTGGAAGTCCCGCGGGCTCAGACCCCTTCGCCTCCTCCAATCTCGCTCTTCCAGCACCTCTCCCCAATTTTCCGCCTCCCCACGTACTCCAACGCCTTCTGTGGGCGATCCGGATGTGAGCATCCCGAGTAGCAGAAAGGGTGCTCCCAAGGCGATCGGCCGGCTTGTCGATCCTTTCCGCCACGCGCCTGCCAATGTCAAAAAGCCCACCAAAGCTTCTTCTGCACCCGTCATGCGCGGTGGAAAAGGCGAGAATGTGTTTGACGGAAGCTTTGCCAAGTTTCGGAGCCCTAGTGGGAAGAATATGAAGCGCCTCGAGCTCGATGGAAACTTCGATCGGGAAAGCCTGTTCCAGGCTATGCAGTCGGTCACTGACTTTTCCGACAAAGAGCACCACAAAGAACCCCAAGTCGACGCTACGGCCGCAAGGACATCTGTCGAATGGGTCTCGGACGAGTCTGGTGTATACCATGATGCGGCGCAAGAACTGTCTTTCGACAAGGCGCCCCTCACTCTGCCCGGCTTGTCCCCCGAGACGACGAAAGACGAGTATCAGAACCCTATACTCAGTCCGGAGATTGTGACCCCCACCCGCGCCGACCCATCAAGGGTGTCTATCAAGGAGATCATTGATGACGCCTTCGCCATGCCCGAGCTTAAGGCCGTCAAACTCTTCGAGGCCTCCACGATCGGCAAGCCTGCCGCCAACAACGAGAAGACTCGTCCTCGACAGACACCTGAGCCCGCAGAGTCGCCCGACGGGGAGAGCGATATCTCAACCTCTTCTGAAGAAGTCAGCCGATATGTGCAGCAGGATTGCAGTCTCATGTCTCTCCCATCCGAGTACTCTGACGCTACTGCTGCTGCTGAGGCGAGTATCTTTTACGAGCTTGGTAACCTCAAAGTCATGTACAGTGACTCTGGAATGAGTGAGAAGAAGGCACAGAGAGCTTCTGGTAGCTTCCCTTCGGCACGAGCGGATGATATCCTAGACTTGCCATCATTCGGAGCAGACGAGTCTGGGCCCATCCACTTCTGCGTTGAGAGTTTCAAGGCATCAAGTAACGTTGAGCTGTTGAGCGAGAGGGACGAAACCTTTGAATCTCTGCCCTCTGTCTGGTCCCAACCTTCTTTGGTGATCAGGGCGAGCGAGGATTCTGTTCGACATGTGGTCGAGTCGGTGTATGACACGAACCCCGGCTCTCCTGGGCCTCCAAGAGCGTCCGGAAGCTACAAAAGGGCGAGCGTGGTGATCTCTAGCCCCGATGGGAGTATCCCCGGTATCACCATCTCCGACATGTCGGACGACATTGATAACGACCCTGCCCAAACTTCCAACCACCCTAGCCCTCCCAAATCGCAGAAAGCTCCTGCACCGAGGATGATGAGGGAAAATGACCCTTCTTCCATCGCCTATCCCAGGTCCCTCAAGCGCGCCCCGACAAGGGACAAGACCGGTCGTTCGCCCTTGTCGCCCCTCTCGCCAAACTTGTCTAGGAAGAGCCGTAACACTCTGCGTCTTGGAAAGGCTACGTTCACTCAACCTCTGGTGCAAGACAAGGGAAAGGAGCAAGGGTACAAAGAAGGCAAGAAGACCTTGAAGGAGTTTGCTATGAAGCGAGTCAGTATGATCAGGATGAGGAGTGGGAGTGGAGAATACAAGACTGTTGGGCAGGGGCTCAGGATGTTTTAGTGGGCCCTGTATAGCAGTAAGTCTTCACTACTTGCGCTTGAACGCAGTTGACTCTTGATCAGAAATACAAAACTCTGTAGTAGCCAGATACTTCTTCATGCCCACCGCAATCTTTCCCGCTTTTGTCATCGGTCATCCGTGAACTACTCGATATTGAGGATCATCACATCAATTCTGGTCTTTTCATTTGGGAACGTTGTCTGACCTTTACTCCTTGAGCTACTCGAGCGATTTTCTTTGTTTCAGTTCACTATTTGTATTTCCTTCACATTAACATGACTTTCCGATTGGAAACTTCTGTTTCGATAGCTACAACACGCCCAAGCGCGCATAATCACGGATGTATGGACACTCTAGTAGCTTGATCGATCCATTCAACCTCACACCCCGCGCATATGACAAGGTCGCATGTTGTCATCGTCCCTCTTCCCTCCTTGGATAACCTGATTGCCCTTGGGTTCCACATGGCTGGGTCATCATCACGGCGCAACATGATCAGACTCAGTAGATGACCCCCACAGAAGAAAGGAGTTCATTTAAGGGGTTTCAAAGTGTGAGGGATGAAATCGTTCTTTTGAGGAAAAGTTATCATTAGGCAAAACAATGTTATACATGATGACATCACATGCAGCCAGATACAAGGCCGAGAAGACGTAGCCGAGTCTGACGCGCAACGTGCGTTGAGAATGACAGATGCGGGTGACCGAATGATTGCGAAGACAAATAGCACGTATGACGCCAGATGATTGATCTAGAATTCCATTATACGCATGAAGCGCGCTTCCACATCCTCTGCATCCTGGGACAGGTCAACAAACAGCTTGCAGCAATCCAAAGCCACTTACATCAAAGACAATGATCCTTTCTTGATCAATGATAATGGTATCGACCTCGTCATCTTCATCATGGAAGGCTGGCTGATGTCTAGTAACCAAACAAGGCAACTCCTTTCCCGTCGTTGTTTTGTCGACCAGAACACTGAATTGGTAGTCTTTGTGCGCCTCGATGACCGTCTCTTCAGTTATCACTTCCAAAGCCCCTTCCTGCAGCTGGATCGCGATATTGGGATCCTGGAGAGCCTGTCGGATACGAAGAGGATTGAAATCGTACAGCATCAAGCTCGTACCGTCGGTACCCTCCTCCTTGGCCACATAACGGTCCTGGTAGACGTAGCAGACCCAAGCTGTTATATATCAGCACAGCTTGTTCTCAGCATACCGGTACTACTCACAAGGGACATTCTGATGAGGTCCGAGAAGCCTACACTTTGATGCAATATTCGCGAATGGCACGACCGGAGCAGGCCGTGTAAAGGTTTGATAGAGCAGAGGACTTGTGGGTGCAGGTAGATAACCCAGCAGTGTCTTTCGCATGACAAACATGACGTAGTGGATAGGCACTTCTGCAAGCGGCTGGCAGTAGAACTCAATGATGAAGACACCACTTTCTGGGTCCGGCACAAAAGGCTGAGGATTGGCCAAAGGGTATAATGGGAAGGTGTACCTTGGCGGCGGATCGGCTCGGATAGTCATGCGCGGAGGAGGTATATGCTCCTCAAAGTCGACGACAAACCGGGGTAGGTCGATGGTGGTAACGTGTGTCGCGGTGTGGGGAGGCGGAGCCGGCTCGCCCTCCCTGAACTCTGCTGTCGATAGAGGCGGGAAAGCGTAGATGTGAAGATGATGAGTGAAGAGAAGATCGGTGTGGCTCGGCATCTCATCCACAATATCCGCCTCGGGGCGAATCGCGGTCTTGACAGACGGGATGGCGAAAGAGGAGGGGCTGAGCATGACAAACGACTCGAAGGTTGACGCATTCGAGGCCGTCAAAGTCTATCAAGCGTGAGCCACGGCCAAAGTATCAGATGACCTCACTCACCACAGCATGTCGACCAGTTGTCCATTGCCACCCACAAAGCATGTCTCGTCCCCTAAACCCAGCGCTTTGATTTCTCATGACATACAGCCCATCGTCGCAGATTTGGAACCCCATCGACGGGGGGTGCGTCTTGAGACTGATGGTAGGCCATACGAGGACGGGATCCTTCGCCTTTGGGTGCGGTCGGAACGTCGAGATCGTCAATAGATGAAGGAGAATCACGGATGTCGGTACATTCCCAGGATCTTCGAACCCAGGCCTACACGAGTCAGTAACGATGTCGTATGCCGAGGTAAGGGGCAATCACCTTTGGTTGACGTAAGGGTTATCGCCTGCTTTATAGACAACGAGCTGCGCCGCAACGAACAAGTCCTGACCAGGATCGAATGTGAAATCAAGCATTTCGAAGTCGAGATTTGCAACACGCCTGAATTGCCCGTACTCTTCGTGCTCTTCGACATCGACGACGTCGGTTTCGACTACAGATGTGTCGTCTTGCTCATCTGCGTCTTGAAGATCTTCCCATTCTTTGACCCTGTCAAACTCGTAGACGCCCATTTCTCGACCTATAGCTCTAGACCATGGACTTGCGTCTGGCGGAGGTATACTCCTCATCAAGACGCCTTCCAAGAATTCGTATAGCCGTCCCTCACGTTCTTCAAACTTGATTATGTCCGGCTTTTTGTGGTCAAACGTCCGAAAGCGAGTCAAGCGCTCTCGAAGTTGGTCAAGAAGGGAGGCACGGGAGGGGGGTACAAGGCGGGGGTTGGAGGTGTTTGGTTTGAGCGCATTGGGATTGAGTAGGAGAGAGGCCGTCTGGAGCAGATTTTGGAGCTTCATAGAAGCGTTGCCGTTTAAAAAGTCGTTGATTTGAGAGCATACCCGATGGCATCTGACAAATGTTGCTCTGTCGATGTTCTCAAACACCTTCTCCAAGAGCTCATCTGGCAGTCGAAGCAGCCATGCCACCCCGTTGGGATCAGGGACTTCGTAGGGGAGCGGCTCGCGTCGAGGTCGATAGGGGGAATTGCCAGAGGGCTCGTTTTGCTGCTGAGGACCCTTGCCCATAAGTCGCTCTATCATAGAGGCCATGGTGTCGTTGTTGAGATTATGATAGAGCTTGAATGTGATTGATCGTTTCGTGCTCTTCAGGTGCTCAAGGCGTCATGAGCTCTCATGACCCTTGCTGATGCATTGTTTTGTTATAACTATTTATATTCTTACCGTAACATATAAGTTCTCAATCGTATAACGGTTAGTATGCTCGCTTGTCATTGTTCAATGTCGCGCGGGAGACCAGGGTTCGATTCCCTGTTGAGAAGTTTCTTTTTGCATTTCTTGATGTCTACTGTGTCGTGCATCGAGTACAGGGATGATTTAATTCGTTCATGAGAGTGAGTTGATGGCTCACAGATACGCATATGTACAACGAGCATGCATGCCAATACGAACAACAAGAGGCCCCCCCCCGAGAGTTGAGAACCTGTACAACACGACGAGTCTACCAGAAGGTCTCATCCCGATACTCAACTACCGCAGGCATCTTCTTTTCCTTCCTTCTCGCCTTTTCGGCCAACCACTTTTCGAACCACTTCTTCATCTTTGCTCGACTAAGTACAGATCAGGATAGAGAGAAGGATGAAAAGATTTGAACCTGCCTCTTTTCATTACCAACGTTGACCGTCGCTATCATCTTGAGGTCTGGCCCCGGCAGCGATAGTGCAAAGCAAGTCAACTCGAAGAAACTCGAGTGTTCCGAATACGGCACCCCTGTCGATATCAGCACATTCCCTGCCCATCAAAGACTTCTACTCACCGTACATCATGAAATTTTTCCCGCTTCCCCTCATCGCCTTCAGATCTCCCTCCCCGAACCGCCTCGCCTGATCCCGTCGTATCACTGTATTGACGTCCGGCATCATGTCCACCCCTGCCGGCGGGGTGTAGCTCCAACCGGTTGGACGGAATCCGAGGACGCGGTCAAAGTGTGGGTGGAGGTTGGCAAGGTAAGGGTGAAGGCGGTCGGCTTGGATGTTGCCGAGAGGGAGAAGATGGACCTGCGCCTGTACAGAAAGTTAGCAATGTCTTGTAAGCACATGGAGACTTGCCTCTTTGGGATCCGAGGTCATCATGGAGTGCAGTTCGGGATCTGTTTGACATAATAGGATGCCACGCTTTCGCGGATCACAGTAGATTTTGGACCCTATAGCTTTCGCAACGGCTTTGCAAAAGTCAGCAGGTACGCCTCAGGAAGTGGCCGATGCTTACCCTTCACTATTCTCTCTTTACCGATAGAATAAGTTCCAATGACCACAAGGGTCCTTCCCTTTTTCTTCCCTTTATTGACCTCCTTCATTTCCTCATCCATCACCTCCCCCTTGACTTCATTCTGGACCTCCTTCTTCACGAGCCACCCCTGCATCAGATCTCGTTCCTCCGCCCCATTCTCCTTCTTCACAGTCGCCTCCACAATAGTTTCTTTCCCATCCTCCCCTTTCACCACCACATTTCCTTTCCCGCTCAAACCCTCTGAGCCCACACTCAAACCCACCCCCGTCACCTCTCCCCTTTTCACTTCCTCCAGACTCGGCGCAGAGGGAGACTCGCCAACAATTTGCCGTCGTGCCAAAGTGGCGCAGGCAGATATGACGAGAGGTTGAGGGGGAAAACAGTATTTGGGGTTGAGATATGTCGTGTCGAGGTAACAAGTATGGATGGGAGCTCGGGCGATAGCTGGATGAAGAACCATTTTGGGGTTTCTACTCGATTCGTCAAGATTATTCGGCCGCCCGAACGAGACAAGACTCACGCTCGAAAATCCCCACAATGGAGGTATCTAAAGATCTTCTTGGTTCCAACGTATGCGCTAGCAAAACCCGAATCACCCGCATTAACCGTCTGAGGCCCTTCAAACAGGAATATCGATGAACCTGGACAGTGATTTGCCTCTAGAGGTGTCACCTTGACCCCGCCAGTATTGGGCATCTCAAAGGGAACATTGTCGGGGAGGCCATGCACATATTTGGGATCGACTTGCAGCATGTGGATGATGAGGTTGGCGGTGGTCTCTGAGCAGTAAATGGGGCCATGTGTCCAAGACTTGGATAGGTTCGTGTAATGGTCCGAGTGGGCATGCCTTTGAGATGTCAGCGATGAGAGGTACTCGCAATGAACAGCCCTACGTGAGAAGGTAGGCAGTCACACCAGGTATCTTGCCGTATCGAAACGCGTCCACAGCGACCGGCATGCCCGTCAAGACCTTGTAAAAAGGCGCTTTCCTCCTCCCGTAGACTCTCTTTCCGTCACGCCTCAGATCATCTTCGGCGACCTTCCACTGCTCGCGCTCCTTGTGGCCGGACATGAGCAATGAAAAGGCATTTGGGCCTTTCGTAGGAGGCGGCGATGGCGGCGAAGGTTCTGCTGGTGGGGTGAACGAAAAGGAAGATATGCGTCGAGAAGATTTGGCACTGGTTCCCTTGGACGGCTGCTCATTGGCAGACACATCCTCGTCATCGCCATAATCTTCCATACCCATACCCTCATCAGGCTCTTCCCAATCCATGCCGCCGATGTCTCCTTCGATAGTAGACCCTGACGTTGCCAACCTCATCCCTCTCGCTGGATGTCTAGGCTCATCGTCCTCTATCTCCACCCCTGAATCATCCTCTTCCATCTGACCGTCTTCGGGATCCTGATCCCCCGCATTGTCTTCGTCACTCGGAGGGACGCCATCTTCATCGTCAATGGCGGCGGTGTTGATGACCTTGGGCCAAGTCGGGGGAGGTTCGAACTGAGGGTAGCCGGCAAAGGTGGGGGGATCTGGAGAAGTAACCTTGGGAGACTGATTGGTGTGGGGTATCGATTTGTCTGTCTTTCGCCGCTTGGGGCTCACAGGACGAGGGAGGATCTCGATATCGTCATCGTCGCTGATGACTACAGGATCATGGGCAGACCCGTCAACCTGCGTTTCTTTCCCTTTCGAGTTTCGATTGTCTGCCGTCGACTTTCTAATGGGTTTCTTAATAGGCTTGGAGGGCCCAGCCACGGCCTCTTCCAATTCCCGCTTGACTGGCCGCTCTGCCGGCACGACAAGGCTTGATTTGTTCACCTTGGTAGGCGACTCGGAGCCATTGCTGAGGAATCCCAGAAGGGTGTTTCTCTGGGCAGGCTGATTATTCTTTGCCTTTGGGGCCATTGTCGATATAATCGTGCAATCATGGGGGATTAAAAGGATGAGAAGCAGAATACATCGGTTGACTGGACTTGCATCGAGATCGCGGTCCTCCGTCATTGTGAAGGTCACGTGGTTTTGGAGTGGCTCAACTCGGTGGCAAATCGCATTCTATTGATGCATGCAGGGTACAAGTCATCGCATTCGCCTCAGAATGGTCAGAACTCAATCCGGATCGCAATGCATGATGTCAACTGACAAACCATGCCGCATATTGGAACGACTGGCGAACTCGAGATGATGGTCTTCAATCGAAGCGGCTGCCTCCGCCCTCCACCCCGCGCATCCTCTCTTGCATTCAACTTTTTCCCCTCAACTTTCCCCTCACCCAAAACACCCCTCTCTCCTTCCAAAAATGGCTACAACAAAACCCACCCAAGATCAGATTGAAGACGCCATCCTTGCGGCCCGTTTCGGCGATTTGGACGACCTCAAAGCGTTCGTGAACGAATTCGGGAAAGAGGCTTTGGCGGAGGGCAGGGATGAGCGGGGCAATAGCGTCTTGCACATGTGCTGTGGAAATGGGCACCTTGGTGGGTCCTCCGCTCTGCTTCATGTAAGAGCAATTGCTGATCGTACTCTAGATGTGCTCGAGTATCTCCTTCCGCTCGTACCGTCTTCTCTTCTGACGGCAACCAACGAAGCCGGCTCCCCCCCTCTTCACTACGCAATCATGAACAACAAGACTGAATGCGTCAAAAAACTTGTCGAGCTGCCAGAGGAGCAAGGTGGTGGTCTCCCCATATTAAAAGTACGCCCTTTTTCTTTGCCCGTACGGCGGTGGGTTACTGACAGTCCTGTGCAGCAAAAGAATGCCAACGGTCGAGACGCTTTCCTTGAATCATGCTGGTCTGGCGAAGGCAAAGAAGAAGTTTCTGGTTGGATTGAGGGCTATCTTTACCGAGTCGAGGGTGCCGACGACGAAGAAGAGGAGGGGCAAGCGAAAGAGGTCCAGATGGAGGAGGGCGATGATGTGGTTCAGGCCGAGGCATCCGCTGTCGATGAGCTCGCAGACAAGGCCGAGGACCTCGATTTGAAGGAGACGAAGGAGTAGAAATAGAGAGGAAGATGTAGATCATGGTCCGTTACCTTTGTATGTATAATCCAGTATAGCATGTCTCAAGTCGCCTGGCCTTATACTCGGAACATTGCAATGATCGCAATTGCCTCGGAAACAGTCAATCGTCACTATGCATGGTATCGTTAGATGCTGGGTGCCAGTAACCAGTACTGGAATTAGACTATTACTACCATCAGTAAACCCAAGGGATACTACTTTTCTTCTACCATCATTTCGCTGTTCACGCAATCGCCCTCTCTGGCAACCATGTAAAGATCGCTCCGCGCAGAGAGACTCGGTGGCTCTCTCAATGGGAATGTTATCCTGCTATGCCACAAACAAAAGAAGGAAAGGAAAAGAATGGGAGAATAGTACAAAGTGGGGCTTCTTGTCGTTGCTATTCATGATCTTTTGTCGTTAATCTCTTCAGGAGCCAACCCAAGAGAGCTCCATCCCAGCACCATCACCCAATGACCCTCCTCCACGCATCCCTCCCAACGCTCAACTCCAACCACCTCTTACCCGCCTCCAGCCTTCCGGTCTCCACTACTTCCCCCAACAAGCCTCCTGTACCTCCAGCCCCTGCTTCGCCGGCGCCTCCCGCAGAGGATGACAATCCGAATCCGGATGCCAAACCCACACCCGCCCCCGGGCCGGGCAAGGCCTCGCGCTGGGGTACATGCAAGTTGAGTGTTTCGTACGCTTGCCGCAGGGCATGGAGTATGCTATTCTGTGCAGTCTGGACGGCGGGGACGGTAGGTAGCGCGGCGGCGAATGATATAAGGTGGAGCGCTGCCAAAGCGAGAAGTGGTCGATACAGCGGGAAAGAGCTTTAACCAAAGTCAGATTAGGGATGATATAAGTAGCGAGATGGACTTACTAGGAAAGCGTACGACCGACTTCGGTCGAGCAGATAGACTGGATCAAGTTGATCCCCGCGTCCTTGCCTCGTTCCAACAATTGCTGACCCTCGGACGAGGTCGCAAGTTCTTCCCATGACCTGTCATCTGCGAAACATACGGGCGTGACGG